GGGTACATTTTTTAATATCACTTCGGCCAATATGTAAGATAAGTTATGAATATAAAAAATTAAGTGTTTTTTTTGTTAATGAGTTACTTAGCTATCTGCAAAACGTGTGATAAAATAAATACAAGGAACTAGCATTTCGTCATGCTCTTATTAAACTTATATATTATGGTTCTTAAGACCACTGATAAAAAAATATTACCTTTGTTCAACTTTCTTAGTCGTCATGATCTATTTAATTTCATGTTACTACGTAGTAATAATATTCATGAAAATATATTATTGGTTAATGAGGTTATACGCTTTCCTAAGTAAGAAACTGAAGGAAACAATTTTATGAGAATATGTTACTAGTTGACGACCACGTGGACTGAACATCTCAGGATCTTAGGTAAGTCTTCAAAAACATAACTTAACAACAAATTTAAATTATGAATGTTTATTCTTAATTATTCAACCGTTAGAAATATAATGGTAAATTGACATTCATTTTATTCTTAATTATTCAACCGTTAGAAATATAATGGTAAATTGACATTCATTTCTCTCATTTTGCAACATAGGGGGTGACCCAATCGCCCTTCTTATGTTGTGATAGTTATTGAAACATTCAATTAGATTCAATCTCTGAAGTTAAAAAACTTACATATCTGAAATCCCTCAACGCTTAGTATTTGTATCTTTTTATTTGTTGATTCTTTAATAATAGTTATGTAAGTAATAAGGGGTCGATAAAAACACGTAAATATATCATTGGTATTAAAAAAAATATGGTAGTCAATTATAGTATTAAAACTGAAATGTAATGGCCTAAACTCATGAATCTTATATCCGTCACCGAATTCAACTATTAAAAAAAAAAAAACTAAAACGTTTTGGTTGTAAATTAATGCAACTTTCATTGCTCGGCCTAGCAGACTGAAATGGCTGGCAGGATCGAAGGGGGAGAAAATGCTAGTTGATTTTCATTAGCACACAATGAAAATATATGTTTGAAAAAACAATGTGGAAGTACTTAAGATTTAACTTCACCGTATACTACTGATTTATTAGTTGATGTTCAATATTTTCAAATTGCATATACTGTCCATATAGGTTTACCTCATAACACTCACACCACCCTTCTAGTACATGATTCATCCTCTATAGTAGTTTACAAACTCAACTTAGTTTCTACTTATAAAAACAAAAAGTTTGGTATGTGTAACCCTTGCAATTGTGTAAGGTAAAACTTAAGGGATAACTTTACTAGAGTCTTCAAAATGAGTAATAATTACACGATCGGGCAAGATACAATTTGCAATTGCACTTCTGACATTCTACATGGTCCGAACATTGGGTTGTATACTTTGTCCGAACTGCAATTCAAAAATGTAAATTAGCCCATAGTGGAATTATAATATTTTTGTAACTCTGCCGTAGTTTCCCCAAAACTTAAATAACGACCTCGTGTGAGCCTTCCTTGTATGATTGTGGAGATAACTCGATCTTGAAACATTGACTCACCTACTCATGTATCATGAAATATTAATATACTGCATTTTGTGAAACAACATAACTGTATCTAAATAAAATAATAAATCCTTCCTCATAAAAAACTGATAAAAAATAAAATAATTAAAGATTTTAAACTCAATTAAAATAAGTAAAAGATAATGAAAAGTTGAAAAACTTTTAAAGATCTCCCCCCGCCCCCCAGTCATACATTATGACTAAAGGCCCCCAAAGCGGGCCAAAGTTTTGGAATGGCATAATCTTTTAGGCCATTAAATCTTAAAATTATGACGCTGGCTAGAAGGTTTGACCACAGATGGTTAGCAGTTTGTTGCAAAATGTTGCGTGCACCTATATTTATGATTTTTCATGATCATTAAAAAAAAAAAAGAACCTTAAATACGTTAATTTGGTAATGATCATCCTATTAAAAAATAAAAGGAATATATATAAACAGGGTCACCATCCCGTACGTACGGAGGTCCCCGGGCAAACCCCCGTACGTACGGGGGTTCGGGGTCCCGTACAAGGTCCAATTCGGCCCGAACGACAGAACGCATCCCCAAGGGGTCCCATACGTTCGGGCGTTCGGGTTCGGGCATTCGGCCCGTCTCGAACGCCGGTTACCCTGTATATATATATATATATATATATATATATATATATATATATATATATATATATATATATATATTTTTCATGGCATTGTCAAAAAAAATAATGGTTGTAAAAAATATATATTTTTTTTCCTCTTGTGCTACTAGTAACCCCCCATTACTTTGGCTTAATGGGTTGAACTTCGAATTCGAGTTGCCGTGTAGTGGATTCATGCATCTCTGTTTACAACTGTACGACTTCGTTATGGTGGAATTTTGTGTCTATATAAATCTGCCACAATTTTTTGTTGTAAACGACTACCCGTAAAGGGTTATAGCGGGGGTGAATTTTTATGAAAACTGGTCCTTCGCATTTTTGTGGATGACCAATAGGTACTTCGTGTTAGTACTCGTACCTTCAAAATTTGAAGCACGGTCCTCGATTTCCTATCGACCCTCGTTGTAAGTTTTTGTAAGAGAGGGTTAAAGATAAGTATTAAATGGAGTAGGTATAACGGATGTAGAAAGTGTTATGAAGTTTTTCCTATGTGTATGGTGGAACTTTTTGGCTAGTTACAGACGAACTGGTCATTTGGATTTGTGAAGAGATGCATATAGGGATGTGACACATTTTTATCTCCCTATCTCCCTTGCCTTCCCTTCCTCCTTTCTCTTGCTATAATAATTCAGTAAATAAATAAATAAATGCAAGGCGTTCGAGATGTTTTCCACGATCCCCCCTGGTAGAAAATAAAGTAAGTAAAAATCGAAGAGTAAAAAGTAAACTACGTTTGGAGCTCCGCCCGCCAGTTTAAATCTCTATTCGTGGCTTGACACATGTCATGGGCAAATAATGTGTGTTTAAATTTATATTGATATTCATAGCTCCCAATCTTCAAGGATTATAGTTAAAAATTAGTAAATGTGGAAGATGATTGAGTGTAGCAGCATGACAAATAAGTGATTTGTCTACCAGTACATGTGTAAACTCAACGTTAATTTATAAATATGAATAAGTTTCGTAAGCGAAGGTGAATATAACATACCAATACTATTCGAGTTGTGTGAACCTATGACCCACATAACAAACGACAACATTTAATCAAAAGGGTATGTGGCAGTCTGGCAGGCTAAAAAAATAAAAAACTCATTTAATACTATAGTTGCAAACAAGGATTTGAATACATACTCAATTAAATAATGATTTACATATTCTTTAATCCATTTTCATAAAATGTTATATTGTCACCGTTCGTCATTGACTCTGTCCCTCTCTCATTTGTTTCCAAGCTCAAGTACAGTATGAAATGATATGTTAATCTACCTATCGCCCTCTCCAGCTCTCCTTCCTCCACCAATGTGACCCCTCATGCCTTTTGTGCATAGGTCATAACTAAGTGCGGGCTTAAATTCAAGATTGAAGCAATCGTAAAAAAAAACTGATGTCAAAATATTGCACGCTCATATGCCCATTAGTCCTATGTAAACTCAGATGACCGCATCCTAAGCAACAATGGCATGATTGTCCAACTTCAAGAGGGCGAAACTCCTCACCGAGTACCTGTTCTGTATAGAGGTGGCGATGTCTGTCTTTATGGTCGCCAAGTACCCCATGAATCGTCCAACTGCCCCATGAATCCTCTCCCTTCCTCCTCTATGTATTGTCCCGGTTCATCTCGTTGCGCGTGAAAGTGCTCGTCAGCTGTTGGTGGTCCATTCTTCTCAACCCAAAACCAGTGTCAGAGTTGGCATGTTATCTCCATCCTTACCATTATAATTGTTCAGTTGCATGACACCAGCACTGCTCTTGTCCCTAGGTCTCACGAGTTGTCATCATATAGTTGCATTCAAGCAGTTCAGATTGCCCATCTCACCTGCAGCAGCGCAAGGGCATTTCCTGTCGGCGTTAGCCAGTTTAGCCAGCCATTGCTGTTGACCTTTTCACGTTCCGGGCTACTGTGCCCTACCGGTAGCGTTTCCCACTGCCGGTCGCATATGTCCTGCCCGGCATCTCAGATCGGGGCGTTGCTGGCCTTTTCCCGTTCTTATTACAGGGTTTCCACATCGCTTGGGGCCGACTGACCCACTTCCCAGGGCTCTTCTCCACTTGTTGGGCTTCTCATTTGATTTCTTGGCCCACTCCAACCAAGATCTGCACCGGAACCTACTTTATGCTCTAGGCTTCACAGCAGGCCCCGCGCGTTTCGTTGAATATTCCCCGTTGTCAAGGGGCACGAACACCACGGCTCCGCCGGTTCGGGATTATCGTGGCTGAGCCTTGGAGTCACTGACGGTTGGAGGACCAGGGCCACTGTGCAGCCTTTCTCCCACCGTACTAAGACGATTCTGGCTATTTTCACGACCAGATTCATACAGCGCTGAGGAGGCGCGGCCCTGAGTTGGTGCGTTGTTGACATCTTCAGGTTATGGTTACGTGGTGGGGAATGGGGTGGGGGGGAATTGTTTTTGTTTTTTTCTTTGGGACGTGGTGGGGAATAAATAACGTGATGTAGCCTTCGAGGTCACGGGGATTAGCTTGCAATTTGGTCGCGAGCGCGAATTACTCCAGTAAGGGGCAAAAGCCCAGCTGGTGCTACGGTGGTCAGCACGACCGAACCAGTTTCGAGACCAGGTTCATGCCCCACTCATGCTCTTCGGTGGGGACCTTGCACTCGCTCACACTTACCACACTACCGGGGTTTTCATTTGAATCGGATGTCGTTGCGGGAACCGAGAGGGCACACACATGCGTAGATTTTCCTCACCTCAATCCTTGGGAATGGGTAGGGAAGGCGAAGCGACCGACCAACCGAAGACACACCACACCACACCACACCACAGGTGCGCCCGCGCAGTCCTGCTGCCTACCGTAGACCGCGGAACGAGGGACGATTCACGGTTGAGCCGTTGGGAGGGCGGGGCCGATCAGGGCGAAAGGAAATCGGTGGAAACGGGCGCGCGCGGGGTCGATCTGTTCGGCGTGTCGCGGTAGCGGAAGGAAATTCCTGCACAGAGATAGAAGAGACTGAGGAGGAGAGAGAGGGGACTGACTAATGGTGGGTGCCGCAAGCAGGCGTGCCTGGGTTCTGTGGAGATCTTCGGTTACGGGCAGACAGATGGGGCTCTCAGGGGAGGGGGCGTCTATGTCTTAGCGAGTGGGTCGTGTGGATCCCATCTGATTGTGGGAAATGAGACACGAAAAAGCGGGAAGAAGACGCCGTGCTGTCAATCAACTTTTTCGCTGCGCGTTGGCGCCCATAGCACATGTTTCTGGAGGAGGAAGAACGGGTCGGAAGGATGGACGTCCTTCTGCTTTGCTGTGGGTCGATTTGAATCTGTTTTATGCCCCCCCCGGGCAGTCAGCGCAGCATCAAGGAGAAAGAGGGGCTACCGTAGGCGTGGCGGGGTTGCGTTGCCGAATGTGGTGAAGTCGGGGTTATTATCGAGCAAAGGAAGCCCTCTCGGTTGAACGGGTGAGAGAGGGGGGGGCAAAGAGGGCCCGCCGSGGGGGGGGGGGGGCTKGGGGGGGGGGRGGGRGGAGGGACGGACAAGGAAAGGGTAATCGAAGCGTCGCCGTTAGGGTTAGGGTTCAGCTGTCGCGCTGTGGTGTGGGCGTGTGATTGGGAGGAGAAGGAGAGAGAGAGAGGGGAACGGGGGGAGGTGGATTGCGTGGTGTCGTTGAGGAACGCATTCGCAGCAGGCAGGAGGAGGAGGAGGAGTAGCCGCCCATGGCTGCGGCTTCGGCGTTGTACATACTCGATCTGAAAGGGAGGGTATTGATATGGAGGGATTACCGAGGGGATGTACCGGCATCACAGGCCGAGCGTTTTTTTGCAAAGGTCATGGAGGGAGAGGTAAGTCGATCACAACACAAAGTGACTTGTATAGTAAACACTGGTTGGGCCGGGGCTAGGTCCCACTTACACGAATTAAGCGATATCGTTGACCGTAGATAGCAAAGATCAACGGCCAGAATCTCTTAATCCGTGCAAGTGGGACCTTGCCCCCGGTAGGGGATGTGGCTCCGCACTTATTCTATTAAAGCGCTGCCTCCGGTTTTGGTGAACTGATCCAAAGCGTGAAGAAAGTATTAAGGCTTTTTTTGTTTTTTTTTTGCTGAACAAGCTGGAGGAGATGAGGGGAAGGATGAGAATACGGAGAAAGGACAGGGTGTTGGGTGTTCGCCCAGCAGGAGAAAGGGGGAAAATGGGGTTGCGCAGGTGACCGGGTGGACTTTTTGTCGTCGAAAATACCCAACGTTTTTCCTTTACCACTTGTTTCGATACCATTGTTGCTCTGTAATCTCTCTCTCTCTCTCTCTCTCTGTCTCTCTCTCTCTCTCCCTACTAGTCGCTCGCAATCCCTCCCCCTCTCCGTTTGCCTCTCTCTCTCTCTCTCTCTCTCTCTCTCTGTCTCTCTCTCTCTCTCCCTACTAGTCGCTCGCAATCCCTCCCCCTCTCCCTTTGCCTCTCTCTCTCTCTCTCTCTCTTGCGCGCGCGCTCCCGCGAACTCATTCGCGCAATCTCTCTCCATCTCACGATGATTCCTGCTTGTCCGTCCGATCGCCGTAGCTGGTTCTGATGTTGGCAGCACGCCGCGTGGCACATCTGTTTCTTTGCTTCCTGCACTGCCATTGCTGTCCTTTTATCGGCTGACCTCGTGTGCATACATACTCAGTATTTTCACCGCTCTCTCTCTCTCTCTCTCTCTCTCTCTTTCTTTGTTGTTTTTTTTCATTTGCTCTTCCTCGGTTTCGTGTCGCTGTGTCCTTGGCGCCTCCTCCACCTCTCTCTCCTCTCTTAGCCGCTCCCATGAAGCTCGTGTTTCTTAAACTGCATTCATTGTTCCCAGCTTCAGTCTTATGTAGCAAGACTTACCTCATATACTCGCGCGTTATGCATCTTCCCTCCTCGTCGTCGCTGTGCTGTGCAAGATTTCGTTTGCCGAATGCACTCGGCTCTCTCCTTTCATCTTTCGTCGTTCCTTCTGTGGTGTTATGGGCCATTCGTTCTACTTAGCGTATACACCTTTCTCGTCTTTCTCCCCTCTCTTTGTGTTCTTGTCTACCCACCTTCGTTCTCGCGAGCACCTCCTCCCTCTCTCTTCTTTCCAATGCTCTCATAGAGCACCTGGTGGTTTCCTCATCTGTTGCTGTTGCGCCGAGAATGCTACGTGTACTTAGTCATTTCATCTGCTATCTAATTCCTCTCCCAATCTTTCTGCTTTCTCACAATTGCCTTTTCCCCTCTCCCTCCCTGCTTTCCCCCTTAACGTCTCTAATCAAGGCAGTTGTTCGCGCGCGAATTGTGGTTGCGTGATTTGCACCTGAGGCGGCCCTGTGGCACACTTTGTTCGTCTTGTCTGCCCCTCTCTCTCTTTCTCTCAGACCGTTCGATCTACTCGTTTGGTCTGCGCTCTCCAGCGGCGCTCGTTGAGATTGGCCTATGCAGCCTCTTGGTCGATCTGTATGCTTCTTGGAACTCCCCTCCCTCCTCTCATAGTTTGCATATCTAAGATCTATCACTTGTTTTCCTTGAGCTCTCTAGGAAACCGTTCTCTCCGCCCTCTTCCTCCCAAATTGCGCTTCATCTCTCCTTTACGCTATCCATCTTCCAGAAGCCGTCGTCCTTCTCTGCACTATGTCGTAGTGGAAGATCCCTGAGCGTTGCTGGTTAAAGACCGTAACGTTAGCATCTCCTTCACGCCTGTCTATGCGCCGTCTCTCTCTCTCTCTCGTTTTCTCTCTCCCCCTCTCTCTCTCCCTCTTCTTCCAATGCATAGTACTAGTAAGTTATACTGCTGAGCTTTACAACTCACGTCTTCACGTTGCCGACATGTTGTCTTGCGACATTGCGTGTAAGTCGGTGCAGCAGAACGCTAGTGTCAATGTCTTATTCAGACGTCTCCAGGTCGATCAAACATTGTACCCTCCTGTTGTCAAGTACTTTGGTCTCTCCTTCGCCCCTTCCTCCCCTCCGCCCTGCCCTTCCAATGAAAGCTGTCGTCTTCTCTGGACCGTCCTCTGTTCGCGTATCGTTTGCGCGCTATCGTCAAGTCTGTGACGCGAATAGGACGTTCTTTCTCTGCTGTGCTCAGAGCTCCCTTACTACCTCTCTCTCCCTTCCTCCTTATCCGCTCGTCTTTCTCCCTTCTGTTTCCATCGATCTTCTTTGTTCCTTCCCTTATTGCCGATTCGAATGAGATTGAACTGGCGTCGCTCCCAATTCGTATCTCATCCTGGCCGCCTGCCTATTTGCTCGGGCTTACCGTCTGACTCTGTTTACTGTTTTCTCTCCTCATGCGAGTTATCATCCTTGGGCATTCTTACACTAGGGACTTCTTGTAATAAGTTCTGGACGTGATTGCGGTCAGATTCATCCAGTTCTGGCCGTAATTGCTGTCAAATTCATTCAGGAAATCGCTAGTGCGAGTATGCCCTCGTATTCTCGTGCGCCCTGCTTTCCTGCCTCGTTAATGTCAGATGGCGTTGTCTCGCTGGCAGAGGTGCTTATACTTCTCTCTCTCTCTCCTCCTCTCAGGCTGGATTCTCTCTGTTTTGTGCGTGCACGTCACCAATCCATCTTACTCGCTGTATTACGGGTATATCCTCGTTTCTTTTCTCCGTTTGTGTGTATGATTTCTGTTTGTGTCTATACTGAATTGGTATCTGTGCTTCCCGCTGTTCTGCGCCTGCCCTCCTTCCTGTCGATCATCTCTCCGTTTCCCTTCCTCTCTCGGCCTCGCGCCTCTTTTTTTTTTTTTTTGCTTGGAATGCTCAGATCGCCCTACTCATTGCCGATTTATTCAGCTCAGTTCTCTCGCCTCTACGAGTTGTAAACCCTCCGCCTTCCCCTTGTCCGCGCCTTTCCCCTGCTTGCGCGCTCCTGTCTCTCCTTTCCAGGTTCTCGTGCTTGCGCACTAATGCCTCTTCTTCCCAGACGCTCTGCTGACCCTTATGCCTGCTTTTCCCTCTTGAGCACTCTGCCCTTGCTCTGCCCTGCACACACCCTACAAGTTGACTGTCGCATTCTACACCTGGGTGTCATCATGGGTGTTTTGTGAGAAACTTTCAGCTCAGTTTCACCGTCCGGCTTGGGTGCTTAGTTCCCAGCAGGTTCCTAACGTCAGTCCCAGGTCGTCAGACCAATGCTGGGTTTGTCTTTCTTTCTTTCTTTTTTTTTTTTTTTTTTTTTTTTTTGCTACATCATGGCTGACCCAATGTACTGAAGACGTAGTTCGATCCCTCGTCGTTCTTTATGTTGTGCTGATTGTGTTGCAGCTGCTTGTTTTCCCCTTTCGATATCGCCGGATCCAATATTTAAGTAATTCGATGTTTGTCTTGTTGACGTCAACATGGCAAACTTCGGCTCTCCGTTCTTGGAGCGTTTTGTGTCGCGCATACGCGCGCGCGCGCGGCACACACACACAAAAAGAGAGAGAGAGAGAGAGAGAGAGAGAGAGAGAGAGAGAGAGAGAGAGAGAGAGAGAGAGAGAGGGAACGAATTCCAAGAAGGGGAAGGGGAAGCGGAAAGCGCAAATATCGAGGCGGGTTAGACTGAAGTCTCTGTAACTGGAGGGTGGAGGGAACGATTGTGTGTGGGAAGCCTCTCCCTGTCGCTGTGCGCAAGGATCATGCCCCGCCCACCCTTCGACTCCTTTCGTCTTCCTGGGTGTCGTTAGACTGCTGGAAGGAGGGGCTTCACTGCTTTGTTTTGAGTGCGTAGCTATTAAAGAGTGGCCTTTCGGAAGTACTGGAGGAGGCTAGGCATTTCCTCCGTTTCTTCTCGTCTTTTTTTTGGGCTGACTTGAGCTCTATTAGGTGCAATGTGAGTCTGGCAGGCAAATGTCCCGCGCGGGACCGCGCGGGACCGCTCCCCGCCCATACATAGGTAAACGTGTGGAGCATGCACTCAGTTTGTGGAAAGGAGAAGTATGTGCATTTCCTTTCGTTTTATAGTCCTTCCCTAGAGCCTCGCGTCCTCTTCTTGACCGCCTGTTTTTTTTTTTTTTGTGTGTGTGTTGACGTCTTGACATTTGTTTCGCCAATCCGCGCTTACTTCATGCTAGGTAGGCTTTTGAATCATCACGAATCGACAGAGCTCTGCATCGGGATCGCAGCTGAGCATTTTTGGCTTATTCCCTCTCTCAATCTAGTAGTAAATAATCGAGCGGGACCTACCTACACCTTCGCCTCCCGACGCAGAGCTCTGTCGGGATTGGTGCCAACTTGGTCGGGATCGCAGCAGAGCATTTTTGGCTTATTCCCTCTCTCAATCTAGTCCAGAGGCATTTTTTCTGTACACATCGTTTATCGTCTCCCCTGCTTTCCGTGGTTTCGGCCTCGCCTTTGCCTTCGCCTTCCTCACTTTCCTTGTTTCTCTCTCTCTCTCTCTGTCTCTCTCTCTCTTCATCATTTCACTCACCTCGCGCTCTCCGTGCCCTCGGCTTTCCCCTTCTCCCTTCTCTGCAGTTTTCAATTTTGCTCGCCTTCTTCTCCTCTCCTCGGTCTTGTTCTGTTTTCCCGAGCCGCCCCTCTCGCGCGTGCCCCGTCTCTTCCGTCTTGCCTTTTCCACCTCTCCCCACCTCCCTCGCTCCTCCTACACAATCATCGTCCTTCTCTCCGCTGCATCCGTCCGTCTATCATCGTCATCCCTTCTCTCTTCCCCTCTGTCTCTCTAGTTATCGCTTCTTGCGTCTTCGCTTTTGCCCTCCAGCTGTCCTTTCCTGCCGCGCTTGTCATCGCGTTTTCCAACCTTCTGCCCTCTTCCTCCCCTCTTCTCTACATCTGCATGTTGTCGCGCCCCTTCGTCACGTCGTTACCCTCTGCCCCCCGCGCATTTTTATCGTGGTTGAG